ATGGGTTATTTACTGCCAATAAACTCTAGGAAAACTTACATAAATATACTATAATAAAAAAATATTTATCATTTATAGCAATAACATTTTTTTTTCACATGATCACTTTTAATTCATTTGTAATACAAGTTTAACACATATTACAAAGAACAATTTATTTAAATATAATACATGTTTTAACGATTGATAATATTTTTATCACACATTTTAATACACTTATAATACAATATGTCAATTTTTTTTCCAAACAAATATAATATATTTCAAAAAACAATTATAATTCATATATATTGCATACATAATTTATTTTTAATTCATACTACAGATTTAACATAGTATCGCTATAAATAATAATAAATTAAAAGTATTACTAAATACAGTAATTATTTATTAAAATATATTAATTTATGTAATTTTTCGTAAACTTTATTGGTCGTCAACTAAGGCAACCGGCAACACTGTAGTTCGCATCGAATCGAAAAGCCCATGTCCGCGAGAACAAATAGAAAAGCCCACACATTTGCAAAATACTTCGATCACTCACAAAATATAAAAATAAAAATACTTAAATTTTAAAATAAAATAAAAAGATATAATTATTGTATTTATATAAATATAAATAATTAATACGAGTTGTACCTTCCGAAATAGATTGAAAGGAAAAAAAAAGGTCCACGTAAACTAGGATAAAGAACATAGGAAAATAGAAAATATGATTCTTTGATTTTACAATTAAAAGTAACATACTTTTTTTGTTTTATATAATATCATATGACTTTAAAAATGATCTTACCTACCTTTTTACCCATTCATACCGGATAAAAAGAAAACTCAATGCCTCTTTTATTCGGCTATAAAATATGTCTGGATCGAGTTTAAATAAAAGAGGAATTGAGAACAGATGGGTAAAGTAAGATAATCTTTTTAAAGTCACATTTTATTTTTGAATTAAAAACTTCTCTTTTTATTTTTAAGAAATACAAATAAGAGGTATACATACTTTATTCTATTTAGTTTCACTTATATGGTTACGCTATAGTTATTATTATTATTAGGGATAATGGTCAAGTATTCCCTTAATCTATGTCCGAAATCTCAGAGATACACTTACACTATACTAAGGTCCTATTACCTCTGAAATTATTTTATTAATAATTTTTTACTCCTTTTCGGCCTAAGTGGCATTATTTTGTGGGCCCAACGATGGTTGACTTTTTATTCCAAATCAGTGTCACGTAGGCTAAAAAGGAGTAGAAAATTACTTATAAAATAAGTTCAGGAAGGTAATAGGACCTTAGTATAATATAAGTGTGTCTCTGAGATTTCGGACAGGTTGAGGATACTTGTGCATTATCCCTTATTATTATTATTATAAGAAAAGGCTTACTTAATTTATTAAAACAATTTAATATTATATATATATATATATATACGTGTTGATAATATCAAATAATTTTTAAATTCAAACTCGCATGTTCTCTAATGATATCAAAGGTCAACTAAGTAATGTTCTTACTCAATTGCTATTTATTCCTTTTTAATACTATATATATATATATACTAAGTCATATATGCATACCTGCTTAAATTTAGTGCGACATCTGCTCAATTTACAAGATATATATATATTATGTTACGAACACGATCCAATTGATATACTATCAAATCACATTTGGAATCCGAGTTAAAAAAATAAGCATGTGCACTAAAGATGTCTGATAAATTATCTCATTAGTATTATGTTATAAATATTTACAATAAATTTTAAAATACATAGAAAAAAATAATCATATAAACAATATATGAAGAAACATAATTTTACTGATTAAGATAGCGGATACAATTCTATTGTTTCCTTGATTCTACTCTAAGATTAACATAATTTCGATGTCTAATCGAGCCGATTTATTTTCAACCTGATTATTGTTTCGATATCTATGCGAAAAATACCACGCACTGCCATATGATGATTTAGATTTGATCTCTATATGAATATTCCATCAATTTGTGGAGTATTCGAGATCTTGATCTCTTTATGAAATTTCCGAAATGCCTTTTAAGAGAATTTAGTATTCTTTCTATACACATAAATTAGGGTTTAGGATTGAGTAGCCTCCAAAAATCCTTATTTGAATTGAACACAATTTGTAGAATTTCAACTTGAATTGAACGCATCTTACTCGGCGCCTGAAGGAAGAGAAATCAACAAAGGCACATGGTATGTTTGATGTGTGCTATACACGTAGTAACGCCTCAGCAGCGCCGTCTCTCTTTTGATAGAGTGGTACATGCATGCAAAAAGTATTCCCCAATGAACGACACTTTGCAAATGAATCACCAATACTACTTTGAAATACGCGCGCTATTGTTACGTCTTTCAATTTTTTCTTATAAACTCAAGCAGAGCCGTGACCTATAAGGACACATGCCATTGGGCCCAAATATAACAGATAAGTTTTCTGCCAACTATATGGACTACGTATGGAGTAAGTGTCAAAAAAGGGGAAGTGCCTAAGGCCCACTTTTGGGGAATGTGTAATAATCAATTGATCTACCTCACGCCTTCGCCTGCTAAAATCTTAGTAATTGTATTGCGACACCATATCATACTCGATAAATAATCAGGGGCGGAGCTGACAGGAAAATTATATTATTTATATATGATTAAAATAAGTTTATATGTAGATATCAAATTTCCTTAGACTATCTATATGTTTCTACAGATTTTGAATCCCTTTATTCAAAATCTTGATTCCGCTCATCAACCCACAATTGATCCTTACATATGCCATCTTAGTAACGAACTTTTACAGGTTGACGTGGAAGAGTACCAAATGAAAAAGAAGATACATGATATTAAAGAATGACAAAAGTTCTACAACTGTGATTAATGAAATGGATGAACTTCTTATAAGACTTGAACAATCCTCCATTAAATGGATGAACTTCTTATAAGATTTGAACAATCCTCCTTCCTTGAAATTAGCATTTGGGATATGAATAATGAAATAGATGAACTTCTTATAAGACTTGAACAATCCTCCTTCCTTGAAACTAGCATTTGGGATATGAATAGGCCAAAAATCTAATTTCACAAACGGTGCAATCTTTTTTTTTACTATAAGAATTTGGACTATCTACCAATACGATTTTGACGTGATGATCTAATGTTAAATGTTGACAAGTGCCACATGGAAAAAAAGAACGAATGAATGGAATCTCATGCGCAATTAACATTTAGATTACACATAAATTAGTTTCCAAGATTAATTAAAGACTCATAAATATGATTTGTTAATTACCATAAAATCATCTTTTTTTGATAAGATCTAACAACAAACTTGTTTCTTTCTTAATTTGAATCTACAACATGCATACTAGTATGATTTAGGTAGAAGTTCTTTTTTCTCATCTTATTCATAGATTTATATTGAAGCTTTGAATAAATTTAAATATTCACTCGAATTTTAAAATAGGTATTAAAATGTTGATTAATTAATTTAAGTCACACACTTAAAAATCGATTTAAAAGTGAGGCCATATCAATGAATTAAACGGCAACTTAAGTATGAAACAATTCCACTACACTATAACTAAATAAATAAGAGTTCGAAGCTTAAAAGGTGAAAAATGTTGACAAAAATTTTAAAACGGTATATAAATTTTTTTAACCAAAACTATAAAATCGTTGACGAAGTAGTAATATTATCCGTCGAAAAAGCAAAATATAGCACGATTTGCAAATTTAATTTTTTTAAAAAAATAAATAGCTTCCAAGGCAGAGATTTTCAAAATTAATTTTATTTTTTATTATTTTTAATAAATCGCTGCTCTGATAACGATTTAATGTGAATCTTTTAATTATTTATTTGCTATTTTTAAAAAAAAATTAAAATAAAATCCCTGCCAAAACAGCAATTTTGGTAAAAAAATTATTTTTTTTATATTTTTATTAATTTTAATGCGTGTACGTTTGTATGCATTTCATTTATTTTTTTTAAAAAATAACAAATAAATAATAAAAAATTCACGTTAAACTGCTGCCGGCGAAATAATTTATTAAAAAAATTAATTTTGAAATTTATTTAATTTTTTTAAAAATAAATTATAGCAGCGATTTTATTTTATCTAACGAACAAAATCACTACTTTTTCAATAATTACCATTTTAATTTAAAACAAAGTTCATATAACCATTTTAAATTTTTTGTCTACTTGAACTCGATTCCGCAAAACCTTAGTTTGAAACGGACAACAAATCACGTTTTTATAATAGCAGTACATAGTTATATAGTTTGAAGAAACATCTCGTAGCGTATTCCATTCACAAAAAATAAAAAAGACTTAACATATCTCTATTCCTTTTGAGAACATACCACCTCCCATTTTTATTTCAACTTATAACATAATTTCGAACTACAGAAATAATAAAATATTTAATACATCCCACCTATCTTTTTTTTTCTTCTTTATTTATAAAAAGAAGAATATACGAGAGTACATATGTGTATTTTGACGAAATTTCAAACCACGGTCATTTAAGGAAATTTTATTAGTTGGAAACAAAAAAATAGGTGAAAAGAACCGATACTCTTAATACTTCCATTTTCGAAGAAGCTCAGTGCATGCCGTCCATCTACTCTTTAATAATACCCATAATTAGACTTTGAGATGTATGAATAATTAATTTAAAATTCTTCCAATTTACAGTTCGTAGGTGATACAGACATACTCGAGATTATAACCTCAGATCATACTCAACTTTAAACGGGATTAAATTTCATTATCACGTACGTTCATTTCCTTCTACAATCTCCGGATTAATACTACTTTTTTTCCTTCTTCTCTTAGTCTGTCTTCATATAAATGTTTCTAATTATTAGCAATCAACTTGATGTGAAAATGGTAAAAAAGATTGTCCAAGCCACACAAACGTATAATAATACTCAAAACAAACAAATAACAAGCAAAGAAGAGTAATAAATTAATTGTGTGAAATAGTTGGAACAAAATATGTATGTAAGATGTTAAATTAGAAACAGGAACGCGAAGTCCAAAGTCAGATAACAGATCATGATATGTTTTCCCTGGTTCAACTACAACTGCTAGTAGTAACACTGTATATCAATAAGTATCCCTAACGAACATTCCATAAACCACACAACTAGGCATAAGTAAATCCGCCACCATCCAAACTCCGCCTTGAAAAAACCAAAAAAAAAATTAAACACACCTAAAAAAACATTTCTGAACTCTAAAAAGATATTCACAATTTTTCTTCTGATAAAAGCACATGCAAGTAGTCTGCATGTCCTCTATACGTAGACAAGGCACAAGGTGGCAAGTTTTATTAGTGGTTCGGCATACAGATTTACTTCTTTACCCTTCAGGTGGAGTTACTTCAATTACCTACCTACCGCCCCAAAGAGAGAGCGGCTTCTGTATCCAACCTCCATGCAAATCCTCCGCCGTCCATTCTCCACACATCGCACGGCAGAATCAATGAATTTTTTTCCTTCCCGCACCTGACAACCCTAACCCGGCAAGTGAACGCCGCCGTAGATTTGCTCTCCGGCAGCCGTACAGCATCTTTCATCACTAGCCAAACAACCACTTCCCCTGCCCCATCACCCACCATCCCCTTGTATGCCTTGTTGGCCCACCTAACTCTATTTAAACCGTCTGATATAAACCCTGGACAGCTGTCCCGCTCCAGATTTATAAGTTTTTCCTCATCCGTACGTCCTAACCCATACCCTTCCACCCACGCGTCTGTCACGCTTTCCACCTTTACCCATGACCCCACTACACGTACTGGCTGAGGAAACATCACAACTGACCGATCCATAGCCACTCCCTGCAACTGACCATTATTATTATTACTGTTATCATTATTATTCCCTTGGTTACCACCAAAACTCAACCAGATCGGAGCATTTTTTTTCATCATATCAACTGAATTATCCTTCCTTTCAGGAATCTCCGATAACAACGGCAGAGTAACTGCCGTTTCTCCGCCAGACACTGATTTTGCGCTTGAATCATTTTCTTCAACCGACCGAGCTTTCCTTTTCCTACGACTAGGAGTAGGACTACACCCGCCGCTACTAGATCTCTTGTTATTATTACTATTTTTATTGTCCTTAACATACCTTCTCTTCCACCGTCCAGTACGAACCGGAACCTCAGATTTTTGCGGTGGAGTAGTCGTGCCGGAAACGGAAGTACCGGCTGCTGCTGGTTTAGGTGCTATAGGTCTGAATTTAAGCATTATCCTATCCACTTTTGACATATCGTACGCACCTCCTGCATACCTAGCAATACAACACCCTCCTCTCCCATCCATTTATGGAGTATTATCAAAATAAGTTTGAGAGAAATTTTTTGATATTGATATGAATGAAGAAAGGAGTTGAAGGAGGGGAGATGAATTTATAAGTGGGAAGAGAAAAGGGAGGACGCGTGTGAAGGAATTGATTAACACGTGGGAGAAGAGAGGTGAAACAGCGTAGAGAGGTGGTTGGCTAATGTTATAACGTGGCGCTATGTTAAGGTGAGCCCCATGTGACAGAACCTATCGGGTTGAGGAGTTTAGGATGGGCCCGGCTTGTAGTAACCAATGAAAATGCAGGGAGTGTTGAGTATGGTATCAAAAGAGGGACACGTAGGCCTTTTAGGGTACATGTATAGTGGAGTATGTTCCAGAAGAAGAACACGTGGCCCAATGGTTAGAGAACTCCGTTAGAGTCTCTATAACGATTGCACCACGTGGACGGCAGATTCTACAACCAAAAATGGTGGGTTCAATGGACTGATTATTTTGACAAGAACATGGACCATTGTTTTTCTCTCTTTTACTACTGGTTATTACTCTATCTCGTTTCCATTTTGACTCGATACAAAATTTATTTGAAACAAATTTATTAAAATTTTTTTTTGTTAAAAGAAAAGTTAAATAAATTTTAAAAGAAAATTAAAAAAATTAGTTTTTCATCCATCTTATTTTGAAATCTAATTGAATTTGTATTTCTGCATTACATAATTTATTTTTGAAGACAACGGCTCTAACATGCCTTTTTATTGGAGGCTTGGGTGAATGGTCTTTGTCAATGGGCCATTGTTAGGAAAATGGGTTATGTTATTAAATCGCATACATTATTGGTGTAAATAATAATGTATATTATCAATTTTATTAAATAGTATTTATAGGTGAAAATTTTAAAATTAAATCTGTAGTTTTTTTAAAAAAATAAATTGTTAGGGACAATAAATACAAGTAGTTTGATAATTAATGTACAAGTTTCTTACATTTAGGGTTATATTTATACGTGATGGCGGAACAAGTTATTATAGTATTAGAATGACTAGATTACAGTATGAGATAAATTAGCTAATGAATACATTTTTAATTGATAAATATTTGATTCACTGAACTAAAATGAATAAACATGATATAATATAAATATCAAGTATAGACAAACTTTTAATCTAATTTACATGTACTACAACACAACATGTATTTGAAGAACAAATGTATTCAAGATTAATAATTCCAAAATAGTTACTACTATTTACAAATTTGATTGTTGGATACATTATTTAGAATCAGATAGAATATTTGTTTACTGTCTTACTGGGCGAAGTGTATATATTGAATTGACAACACAAGGAATAATGGAGAGTGTTCAGTTCTAGTGAAGATTTTATTTATATTTATATTTATATTTTTACTCGAATATAAATGAACTAACTTACCATTATACCATACTATAAATTCATTTTTTCAAGGAAAACGTACAAGTATCTCTCAGTTTATGTTCGAAATTTTCAGAGGCGCACTTATAATATACTAAGGTCTTATACCCCTCTACTTATCTTTTAAGTAATTTTTTACACCTTTTGGACCTATATGGCATTAATTTGAAGAAAAAAATCAATCAGCGTTGGGCCTACAAAATAGTACCACATAAGCCAAAAGTGATAAAAAATTATTAGTAATACAAGTTTAGAGATAATAAGACCTTAGTATAGTATAAGTGTGTATCTGAAATTTCAGGCATAGATTGAGGCGTACTTATGCATTATCCCTTTCTTTTATTTTCAAAAAGGTGATCATAAATTGAAGACATTTACAATAGCTTTCAAATTTATTTACTTAATAAATAAATATATATAAATTAAAGATCTTGTTCAAATTTTTCCTATTTAAGTCTTGCTAGACTATGAGATGTTTTATTACGAGAGTTTTAGTTTATAATAGAGTTGTCAATATGGATTAGGCATGTTGGGACGGTCTGATTTAATTCGAGATTTAATAGGATTGAATTATAATATTTGGAGCTCATTTGGGAAAAGAATTTTTTAGCTCTACCTAAATAAGCCTGCTGATTTGTAGCGCTTGAGAAATATCGTAGGATCGGCCCGTGTGTTAATAAAAATTAATTAAAAATATAATATAATACTAAAATTTTAAATAAAAGAGAGTCCAAACTCAAAATAATTAGATTAATATTTCAATTTAGATATTTATATTTTTACTTGAAAGAAAACTTAATAAGTATTATAAAAATAATTTTAATTGTTTTGATTAAAAAATAGTAATATTAACATCGTGTATATTGCTTTGTCGATATTTGTAAATAATATTTTTAAATTATAATTTATAATTTAATTTAATAATATATATAATTTTTTAAAAAAGTGGGCTAACCCAGTAAGCCTATATCCCACGTATTTATGTGTTGGATCGATAATTTTCTGACCTGAACAAAAAATGAGCTAGACTGACCTAGCCCGTAAAACGTCAAAGTTAGCTCTGATAGAATAAACTTAGGCCATATTAACGGCTCTAATTTATAAGTTAAATTCGTGATTCATGCCTCCTATTTTATTTTAGCAGGGACCTTAAATGCGACTCTATATCATTTTAGGGAACTCCAATTTGTTCTTTATTTAATTAGCTCATTAGTAATTTACAGTAATTAACGGTCGCTATGTAAAATGAAATGAATCAATTAATTCATAATACTAATTACTAGGTAGATATTGTGATTGGTAATTTAGAATACACGCAAAACAAATCGATTATCGATAGTTCCTTCTTTTAATACTTTATACTTCATGTATAGAAAAAAAAAGACCCATAAATGCACAGATTTGGGGACTAGGACATTTACCAAAACCATGTAAATAAATAATAGTATCCGTTTTCCATATTTTTCAAAATATTACTTTAAAAAAATACGTGTTGGTTGGTAGGAAGATATAGATACATATTTATCTTCGTCATCAGTCAAATGGCATGAGATTATGACATGTTCCAATGACTATATGCAACTAATCATTCATATATATTTAATTTTGGGACGAGGCAAAAGTATCGCTGTAAATTATAATCGAAGTTTCAGAGTCACACTTTAATCAAATTAAGATTGTAGTATTTTTACTTTTCTTTTTTGTGATTTTGTATGTTTTTTTAGCTTACATGATATTCAAACATCATTTACGCTCTTTAATTGGGTAGAGTTACAAAGTATGCCACGTATGTTAAAAGGGAGTCCGGAGCTTAAAGGGTAAAAAATGTTAACAAAAATTTCAAAACAGTGTATGAAATTTTATTTAACCAAAAGGACAAAATCGTTCGTGAAGTAGCAATTTTGTCCAATGGAAAAAGCAAAATCGCTACTATAGCAGCGATTTATTAAATTTGCTTTTTATAAAAAAAATTAAAACAAAATCGCTCCCAAAAATAAAAATCTTTTTTTAATACCTTTTTTATATGTCGCTGCTGAGGCAGCGACTTATGTTTAATTTTTTTTTAATTAATTTTTTTTTGCTTTTTTTTTTTTATAAAAAAAGTTTGAATCAATTCTTGGT